TGTGAGATTCAAGATAGAGGAGGAAGGAAGGGGGAGGAATGCATGTAGTTTCTGTTTCATGGCACAAGACTTAACCCTAGCCCTGAGCAATACGTGTGTGTGTGTGTGTGTGTGTGTGTGTGTGTGTGTATTGATTTCAGAGAAGAAGGGAGAGAGAGAAACATCAATGATGAGAGAGAATCATTGTTTGACTGCTGCCTTCACGGCCCATACTGGGGTTCAAGCCTGCAAACCGGCATGTGCCTGACCAGGAATCCAACCGTGACCTCCTGGTTCATAGGTTGACGCTCAACCACCGAGCCACGTGGGGTGGGCCAGCTCGGGATTTTGGATGACCGGATAGAGAAACAGAAGTAGCCTGTGGGCAGCCACTGTGTTTGGTCTTGAACTAACCCTTTCCGGAGGTCCTGACTTCCTGCAGAGGAATCAGTGGAGGAAATGCATGCCTCAATAAGTCATCCCGCATGCTTGAGAGGTCCAACATAGAAAGTAGGTGAGTTAGTGAATGTGTCTGCAGGAAATACCTCAGTTTCAGGAAATAGCAACTGATGACAGTAGTGGCCTCTGGGGCCAGACACTGGAAGACAGAGTGACCAAGAGTGGGGGCCGGGGATCACACTGGGGATCATCATATTGTTTGGCTGGTATTATACATGTAATATATTTTTTTTAAGTATGAAGAGGTTTCCTTGAGTCTTAAATAATAGATGAATGGCCCAGCTGGCATGGCTCAGTGGTTGAGCATCGACTTATAAACCAGGAGGTCATGGTTTGAATCCAGTCAGGGCACATGCCCATTTGTGGGCTCCATCCCCATTGTGGGGCTATGCAGGAGGCAGCCGATCAATGAGTCTCTCCCATCATTGATGTTTCTATCTCTCTTCCTCTACCTTCCTCTCTGAAATCAATAAAAATATATATATTTATTTTTTTTAAAAAGAAGAATAAATTTAAGTCAGCACCATCTTTCCGCCGGGCCCTGGTCTTCTAATCGGTCTCCTGCTGTGACTCTTATCCCCCTGCAACCCTGTCCCCACAAACGTGATTAAAAATTGCCCCACTCTTTTAGCATCTCCACTCAGAAGAAACGGAAAGCGTATTCAGACTGTGAAAAGACACATTTAGAAAACTATTTTCAATCTCTGGAAATGGCGCCAACTGTCCTTGGTGGACTTGAAATATCGCAGCCAAAATTGTCCCCCGGGCTGGGCGGCTACACTCTGCAGCCAACTGGCCCCCGGTAGAGACCTTGATTTAAGACTGTGATGCACAGCCTGGCCGGCGTGGTTCAGTGGTTGAGTGTCAACCTATGAACCAGGTCACTGCTCAATCCCCAGTGTGAGGCTGGCAGGAGGAAGCCAATCAATGATTGTCTCTCATCATTGGTGTTTCTATCTCTCTCTCCCTCTCTGCCAGGGCTCTTGTCCTGGCATTAAGAAGGTTTCAGCGATCTGGAGAAAGGCTGTGCATAGATTAAGTAGGAGTCCAGAGCCAAAAGATAATTTTGAAAGACATTGGGTGGTCAGAGGAGCTTCAGCTAAAGGAGCTAAAGACTCCCCTTGACTCAGGACCCTTCCTTTTTATTAACACAGTTTGTTCCTAAGGCAAGGTGGAGATAATACACTTCAAAGGGTAGCGTACAGAAGCATTGTCCGGTTGGGGAGTAGCCTACAGCTGTTCATATGGTTGGCCAACAGGAGGCAATAACATGTAGACTGAGATGCCCTGAGCTGTCTGGCAGCAAACAGTCATCCTATTCAGGTTTGGGGGAAGTGCCTATTAGCCATTCCAACAGGTAATTCCATATGTGACTCAGCCATTGTTGAGCCCCCAACCTCTTGATAAAACTCTTGTAATTATGACATGCTGGAATTGGCTCCCAGTACCTCTCCCTCTCTGAAATCAAGAAAAATATAGTTTAAAGAAAGAAGAAGAAGCTTCTGTGTTCTCTGAGGAGTCCTTACCCCTGTGCGCTGTCTTTCAAGATTTGAGGGGGTCTCATTGAGGCATAGAGAATTGACCCCAAACAAGCTGCTGGGCTCTGCAATAGCCAACAGGCAGCTTGTCATGTAGCTGGTATCCCGTGGGGTACACATCAGTGTGACATAGCTCATGGTGAGCAAAAAATAATTTGTCAACTAATGAAGTTCGTGAGTGTGGCCCCAGGGTCCGAGAATTGCTGAGATTCAAGATGGGGGAGGAAGGAAAGGGGGGGAGTGCATGTAGTTTCTGGTTCATGGAACAATGATGAGCAAAGCTTGGCTGCCATGTAGGTGCTAGGTAAGATCTCGTATTAAGGTCTTGAATGGCTCTCCTACCCTCATCTTAGTCCTTACTTTGGGAAACAAGGGCTAGAAATAAGGGATAGTGAGTCTTCAGTTGCTAAAAACTCTACTATTCTTTCAATGAAAGAGACAAACTTGAATCCAAAAAGTGTTTGAGTCAAGAACTTATTGCCAAAACCGGTTTGGCTCAGTGGATAGAGCGTTGGCCTGCGGACTGAAGGGTCCCAAGTTCGATTCCAGTCAAGGGCACGTACCTTGGTTGCGGGCACATCCCCAGTAGGGGGTGTACAAGAGGCAGCTGATCAATGTTTCTTTTTCATCGATGTTTCTAACTCTCTATCTCTCTCCTTTCCTCTCTGTAAAAAATCAATAAAATATATTTTAAAATAAAAATTATTTTTAAAATGATGAGAGAGAATCATTGATCGGCTGCCTCCTGCACGCCTCCCCCCCGCCCCACAACCCCTGGCATGTGCCCTGCACCAGAATGGAACCCGGGACCCCTCAGTCCACAGGCCGATGCTCTGCCCACTGAGCCACACCAGCCAGGGCCATGAAACGACGCTGGCTTGCGTCTGTACATCCAGCCTTTCCCCCTTGTTATTAGGCCTCAGAAATGGTGCCACCGCCTCTGGGCGTAATTCTCTCGGAGACGGACTGCTGGCGTCCCTGGGCCTCGGCCAGAGGTGGACGTTAATGAGGTCTGCCCGCCCCTTTCTTTGTCTGAGAAGCAAGCGCAGAGCCAGGGCTGCTGTCCCGTGGCGTGAGCCCTGCCCGGATGCTCATTACCTCTGCCCCCGGAGAGGAGAGGCGCGGGCTGTTGGCTGTTAGAGGAAACGAAATGATAGGTCACAGAGACAAGCCAGTCAAGCCAACGCTGATTTCTAGAAGCTTTCTCTGCGGGGATGTGGGAAGCAGGCGCCGAGTCGCTGCGGGGACCGACGGCCCAGCTTTCCTGGCCACTGGGGAGGAGGCGGGCAGGACCTTGGTTCTGGGCACTCATTACCCAAACCTGAGCCTGCCCCCAGAATCCCTCCTCTATTCTTACTTCCCCTACTAATTCATCATTGAGGCAGCCACTTAGTAAAAAGCAAATAGCCGGAGCCGGTGTGGCTCAGTGGATAGAGCGTCGGCCTGCGGACTGAAAGGTCCCAGGTTCGATTCCGGTCAAGGGCATGTACCTTGGTTGCAGGCACATCCCTGGGAGGGGGTGTGCAGGGGACAGCTGGTCGATGTTTCTCTCTCATCGATGTTTCTAGCTCTCTATCCCTCTCCCTTCCTCTCTGTAAAAAAAAAAACAACAACAATAAAATATATATATATTTTAAAAATAATAAGCGTGATCTTCCTTGGCTCGCGGGCAATTGCTTTTCCCTCCTCTGCTGGTCTTTCCGGCACTTCCTTCTGTCTCCTCCGCCTGCCCCACTTTCTCTACCAGCCAGAAGGAATTAGATGCTTCCTGAACTTGACTTTGAACCGGTTCCCCTCTCTCGAAAAATCTCTCTTGCGGATCCTATCCACTTCTCAGGCTTCAAAAAGGGGAAATTTTTTTATAAGAATGTGTGTGAGACAGAAAGAGAAAGGGACAGAGGATGCTTTCTCCATCGGACGAGCAGTAACCCTTTCTGTGCTGGAGACCCTTTGTCAGCCTGAGGGACCTCATGACTCCCTTCCTTGCAGAATAGTCTTTAAACTAAAAATACATAGAATTGCTGAAACCAGCTTGGCTCAGTGGTAGAGTGTCGGTCTGTGGACTGAAAGGTCCCGGGTTCGATTCTGGTCAAGGGCATGTACCTTGGTTGCAGGCACATCCCCGGAAGGGGTGTGCAAGAGGCAGCAGGTCGATGTTTTTTTTTCTCATCGACGTTTCTAGCTCTCTATCTCTCTCCTTTCCTCTCTGTAAAAAATCAATAAAATATATTTTAAATAAATAAATAAATAAATAAAAATACATAGAATTCCAAAGAAAACCAGACACATAGGAATAAAGTTATCAGGGATCTCAAAGAAACAGAATTGTGCCATCTTCAGCAATCACTTCTGAAATAACAAGATCGGATGACTGGACTCGAACCCAGGACCCTTTGGTTCACAGGATGATGCTCTTCTTAATTGAGCCTAACCGGCTGGGGCTACAAACGTATTTTTAAAAGGAAATATATTATCAGGGGAAGATGCTGGAGCAGGAAGCTCTGAATTCTTTCTTTTTTAAAAAAATATATTTTATTGAGTTTTTAGAGAAGAAGAGAGAGGGACAGAGAGTTAGAAAACATCGATGAGAGAGAAACATCAATCAGCTGCCTCCTGCACATTCCCTACTGGGGATGCGCCCGCAATCAAGGTACATGCCCTTGACCGGAATCGAACCTTGAACCTTTCAGTCCGCAGGCCGATGTTCTATCCACTGAGCCAAACCGGTTTCAGCTGAATTCTTTCTTTCAAGGCTAGTTTGAAACTGGACAGTAGAGACATATAAGATGATTTTACGAAGCACGATTCCTAACTGGGAAAAACAGAGCCCAGACTCTCAGACTCAATAGATTCACAGAGGGGCAGTGCCCAGCCGTCTTAGGTGGGAACTGGAAATTACGAGACACATGTACACTCAGAAAGAGGACGGAGGACTTTGCAGGTGTCTCTGCATGCGTGTGTAATGGTCCGTGGCCTCCCATTTGACGAGCTTTTGTCTGTGTGTTTTTCGAAACCTCTCCTAAGCATCGCGCTGGTGGAAAACATCCCTGAAGGCCTGAACTACTCGGAGGACGCGCCCTTTCACCTCTCGCTCTTCCAGGGCTGGATGAACCTGCTCACCATGGCCCAGAAGTCCGTGGACATCGTGTCTTCCCACTGGGACCTCAACCACAGCCACCCCTCGGCATGCCAGGTGAGCGCGTCCGCGGGCCGAGGGCTGTGGTTACAATGCGTGCACTCTGCCCTCCTCAGTACCCTGCCTCCGCTTCTCAAGGGCAAGTTCATGTTTTTATTTTATTTTTATTTTTTTTATTAAGGTAGTATATGTGTACATATCTTACCATTGCCCCCTCCCCACTCCCATGCATGCCCTCCCTCCCCAGTGTTTTGCGTCCATTGGTTATGCTTCTATGCATGCATACAAGTCCTTCGGTTGATCTCTTATCTCCCCCAGATCTCCCTCCCCACCCCTCCCCGCTGTAATCTGACAGTCTGTTCGGTGCTTTACTGTCTCTGTATCTATCTTTTAGGTCATCAGTTTACAATGTTCCTTATTATCCATAAGTGAGTGAGGTCATGTGGTGTTTCTCTTTCATTGACCGGCGTATTTCACTCAGCATGATGCTCTCCAATTCCATCCAGGTTGCTGCCAATGATAAGAATTCCTTCTTTTTTATGGCAGCATAGTATTCCATTGTGTAGATTTACCATAGTTTTTTGATCCAATCATCTGCTGATGGGCACCTAGGCAGTTTCCAAATCCTAGCTATTGTAGATTGTGCTTTCTTATTCGTGTTCCTCGTTTCTTTGGATATATTCCTAGGAGTGGGATCACTGGGTCAAAAGGAAGTTCCATTTTCAGTTTTTTGAGGAAACTCCATACTGTTCTCCACAGTGGCTGCACCAGTCTGCATTCCCACCAGCGGTGCACGAGGGTTCCTTTTTCTTCGCATCCTCGCCAGCACTTGTCGTTTGTTGATTTGTTGATGAGAGCTAAGTTCATGTTTTTAGTCCACTGCGCCCCGTAGTCCATGGACATCACTGCACGTGTGTGTGTGTGTGTGTGTGTGTGTGTGTGTGTGCGCGCGCGCGCTGTTGTTCATCACATGTTGCTCAGCTCCTGCTCAAATGCCTGGCTTTCAAGGGCAAAATCATGATTCACGTTTGCATGCCAGAGGCTCTCTATGCAGACATGTTGTTTGGGGCAACTTCAGGGGCACCATCGACATCATGGTGCCCGTTGCTGGCACATGCCTAGAGTTCATCTTTGCACAACAGGCGTGTTCACGGATCTAATGTTCACGGATCTAATGCTGAACCTCCTGGGTCAGGCGTGTGGTTGGTTTATCGGTGTCATAACTTGTCTGCGGGACCCAGGGCCAATGTTTTTAAATAGTTCTCTTCAGGCCACCGAGTTCACCATTTCTAAAAAAGAAAGCACTGCCCAAATCGGTTTGGCTCAGTGGATAGAGCATCAGCCTGCGGACTCAAGGGTCCCAGGTTCGATTCTGGTCAAGGCATGTGCTTGGTTGCAAGCCCACCCCAGGTGGGGTGTGCAGGAGGCAGCTGACCAATGTTTCTCTCTCACCGATGTTTCTAACTCTCTATCCCTCTCCCTTCCTCTCTGTAAACAAATCAATAAAATATATTTTTTTAAAAGAAGAAGAAGGCACTGTCCCTGCTGGTTTGGCTCAGTGGACAGAGCGTCGGCCTGCAGACTTAGGGGTCCCAGGTTGGATTCCGGTCAAGGGCACATGCCCAGGTTTCAGTAGGTGGGTGCAGGAGGCAACCCATCAATGAGTCTCTCTCATCATTGATGTTTCTAGTTCTCTCTCCCTTCCTCTCTGAAATCAATAAGAATATATTTTTTAAAAATAAAAAATAAAAAATAAGCCAATAAGAAGGTACTGGCTGAAAGCCTATTTGATTTGGATTTTACCTAATTAGAAGGACTGGGGCATTGATACTTTTTAAAAGAGGATTTGGGGGTTCCAGTGGGCAGGCAGGAGTGAGAATCACCGCCTTAAACCACTCCAGGCTAACAAGCATCGTTTGATTTTTATAGATTTCGAGACAAGGGTCAGGTTGGTCCCCTCCCCCATCCAGTTTGTCAACCTGATTTTGCCTGTTTCAGCTGAATCCCCTTTTTTTTTTCCTGCTCTCCTGTCGGTGATGATGTGAAAGGATGGCGACTTGACCTTGAATAGTACACATATGCCTGCACACTGAGGCCGGCGTCCTATTAATTCCTGCATCTGATCGTCTGGCTCAGGGCCAGGAAGAGAAAGGGGTTGTTTGTGGATTTGAAACAGATTTCCCTTCTTCAGCCTTCTCCTCTCCAGGCTAAATATTATTTCAGGAAAACGGGTGCAGTGTCAGCGTGAAAATTACATAACCTAATGGAAAAAGTGTCGCCCTTTTTTCAAAAAAAAACCAAACAAACATATTTAGCCCCAGCCGGTTTGGCTCAGTGGATAGAGCATGCGCCTGCAGACTAAATGGTCCCGATTCCAGTCAGGGCACAGGTTCCGGTTGTGGGCTTGATCCCCAGTGAAGGACTGTGCAGGAGGCAGCCAATCAGTGATTCTCCCTCATCATTGATGTTTCTATCTCCCTCCCTCTCCCTACCTCTCTGAAATGAATAAAAATAAATTTTAAAAATAAATTAAGAAATAGCATCTCTCTTCAAACTCAACACTCGGCAAATGCTTATCCATTAGCATTCTCCCGTCTGAAACCTGTGACATCCTTTTGGTTTTTTGTTGTTGTTTGTTTGTTTGTTTTTGTTTATTTTTAGTATATTTTATTGATTTTTTACAGAGAGAAAGGGAGAGGGATAGAGAGCCAGAAACATCGATGAGAGAGAAGCATCAATCAGCTGCCTCCTGCATACCCTCCTACTGGGGATGTGCCTGCAACCAAGGTACATGCCCTTGACCGGAATCGAACCCGGAGTCCTTTAGTCCCCAGGCCGATGCTCTGTCCACTGAGCCAAACCAGCCAGGTCTGTGACATCCTTTTGAATGTGCCTTTATTGAACAAGTATGTATGAAGGTGCTGAGCTATTGCTGGGGACACAACACCCAATGAGCATGGTTCCCGCCCCTTTCTGCACAGAGTAGTGGGGGAAGCACGGAAAGCGATTGGTGGGAAGGCATCAGGGGGCGGGGCCTGCAGGTTGGGGACGGGGCCTCTGGCTTGGCCTCTCCACTGAGTTCTCCGCTCCTGTGAACTCTGGTCCTCCCTCAGTGCTGTTCTTTCTGGCTCCATTGCTGCTGCCGTCCCACGCTTCCATCTCCCCATCTGTTGAGCAATCCTAATTATGCTCTTGCCCGATTCCCAGTATATTTCCAGGGGAAATCATCATTCTGCTCTAAGCTCATAAGCGCTATGATTAGCAGGAGTTTAACCTCTTTAACTTTTTTTTAAAAAACCCAATCACATGGACATGAATAAATCATGAAGCCAGACCGTCTTCCCAGTTATTTGGATTAAATAATGAGTTTTGTTTAAAGTTGTTTACTGTCTGCTTGATTGGTTTCCCTCTGGATCTTCGTCTCTGCATTTTCCATTTCCCTACGGTCTAGTTACGATTTTGAAACTTTGTTTTTTAAAAAAGAATAGGTTGAGCCCTCGCTGGTTTGGCTCAGTGGGTAGAGTGTCGGCCTATGGACTGGAGGACCCGGGGTTCGATTCTGGTCGAGGGCATGTACCTCAGCTGCAGCCTCGATCCCTGGCCCTGGAGGCAGCCAATCCATGTGTCTCTCTCACAGCGATGTTTCTCTCCCTATCTCTCCCCCTTCCTTCCACTCTCTCTAAAAATCATTGGGAAAATATCCTGGGTGAGGGTTAACAAAAATAAAAAGAATAGGTTGGATTTGTTCTCTCATTATAACAGTACTAGGGGCCCGTTGCATGAGGAGATTTGTGCAATAGGCCGTCCTTCCCTTGGCTTCCAGCACCGGTTTTCCTCCAACACCCGGGGCCCAGGCCTTCGCTCTGGCCAGTCTGCCTTCTTCGTCTTCGCTGCAGACTCTGGCCAGAGTCTGCCATATTCATCTTCACTACAGACTCCGGAATCTGCAGTTGTGTCTTCATTGCAGACACTGGAGTCTGCTTTCTTGTCTCCACTGCAGACTCCAGTGTCTGCAATCTTGTTTTCTCTGCAGCACTCTGCTCCTGTAGATCCCTTTGCCCCCCACCCTCCCTCTCATAGCAGGTGTCCTGCCCAGCCTGGCCACTCTGCATCTGGAGCAGCTGGGTGGCCGCTATCTTTGGCCTAATTTGCATACTCTTTCTGATTGGCTGTGGGCATAGCAGAGGTACAGTCAATTTACATGTTTGTCTATTATTAGCTAAGATTAGCTTCTTAGTCTAGAAAGTTTGGAAACTACAGAGAAATGGAAGAGAAACAAAATTATCCATCTGACCATCAACAAAAAAATCCTATCTAATGAAGAGGGAATATGCTAATTGATTGTCATGCCATCAAAGATGGTAGTGTCCACAGGCACAAAATAGTGGCACCCAGTCCCCTCAGCCACTCCAGGGCATCAGATGCACAACATGACCAGGCCCGACCCCAGGTGGGTCCAGCCACTCCACACACATTTCTCCGGAGTCTCTTGACCCCTCAGCCCACCAGCCACCCAGGGCCAGCCCAAGGCACAGGCTAAGGGACCCCCCTCCAGTGCATGAATTTTCATGCACCCGGCCTCTAGCATTTTAATAGTTTGACTTTTTTTTTTAATATATTTTATTGAGTTTTTAGAGAGAGGGATAGAAAGCTAGAAACATCGATGAGAGAGAAACATCCATCAGCTGCCTCCTGCACACCCCCTACTGGAGATGTGCCCGCAACCAAGGCACATGCCCTTGACTGGAATCAAACCTGGACCTTTCAGTCCACAGGCCGATGCTCTATCCACTGAGCCAAACCGGTTTCAGCAATAGTTTAACATTTTAAGCAGTAGATCTTCCCCTGTAGTGTGTCTCTTCTCTTCCAGAATCTCTATTTAGCAGGTACACCCAACACAACTCTGCAGCCTATTGCCTGTCACTTGCGTCACTTCCCCCTCCTTGAGGGTGATTTGTGATGTTTAGCATTTGGTTAGAATCCATCCGTGAATGTATTCCTCATAGGGGCTATATAGGTGAATAGTCTCTAAATCTGTAAATACCCGCACTTATTTCTTTCATTCACCCTCGTAAGCGAAATCCTTGCCTGGGCTTCAGTCTTCTCCTCCCGTAATCCGGGTTACCTTAGTGTCACAGCTGGTTGGCTCCATGCCTCTCCAATCCAGTTTCTTTGATGGGTGTTTTGTTTTCAGCCAGAAGTTGGTAAGAATGCCTTTTCCTTGTTGCTGTGGAGTCGTTTTACAGGATATGCTTGGATGTGTCTCTCCACATGCCTTGAGCCTCCATCTTTGATTATGTTTTCAGCGTGTAGATCTTTCCTCAAGTGGGACCATTCTTCTTCTGTCGTTTGCAAACTTAGTCCTGTTGCCTCTTTTTCTCTTCCACTGCACCTGTCAGTCACCTGTTCTCTCTGTGATTTACCCATCACCCTGACCCCCTAACCCCCTCATGTTTCCCTGCAAGCTCCAAAGCTTTAGGGGTTCCATCCAGGGCTTCTCTCATTTCCAAGATTGATGGCAGAAATCTCCATTCTTAAGTGAAATAAGCCAGTCAATGAAAGAAAAACGCCACACGATCTCACTCATTGGTGGATCGTAAAGAACATTATAATCGGATGAACAAAAAAATAGATACAGAGGCAGTAAAGCATCAAACAGATTGTCAAATTATAGCGGGAAGGTTAGGGAGAGGTGGGGAAGATAAGAGATCAACCGAAGGACTTGAATGCATGCATATAAGAATAACCAACAGGCCGAAACTGGTTTGGCTCAGTGGATAGAGCGTTGGTCTGCGGGCTGAAAGGTCCCAGGTTCAATTCCAATCAAGGGCATGTACCTTGGTTGCGGGCACATCCCCAGTGGGGGCTGTGCAGGAGGCAGCTGATCGAGGTTTCTCTCAACAATGTTTCTAACTCTCTGCCCCTCTCCCTTCCTCTCTGTGAAAAATCAATAAAATAAAAAATAAAAATAAATTTTTAATTTTTAAAAAGATGAAGGAAAGAAACCTGGCCGGGTAGCTCATTTGGCTAGAGTGTCGTCCCAATATGCCATGGTTGAGGGTTCAATCCCCGGTCAGGGCACATGCAAGAATCAAACAAAATGCATAAATAAGTGAAACAACAAATCATTTTTTTAAAAAAAAATCACATGTTCATGTTTGTGAAACTGTTCCTTAAAAACCTTGTTTTACTTTGTTTTTATTTTAGTTATTCTTAGGCTGTGTCAGTAATTACAGATTGTGAGGCAGAGCATTGACTGAAGTCAATAAAACTTGTTTTAAACAAGACGGGGAATTCAGGCAGATCCCTGAGGAGTAGGCCTGCCTGATTGCCCCCCCTCGGAGTTAACACTTGAAGGTGCTTACCTATCACTAACTCCCTTAATTCTCACCAGAGCCTTTTAACGTAAATATGAATATCCACCTTTTGCTGAGAGAAGAAGCTGGAGCTCAGTGAGATTAAAGAGACAGTTTGTAAATTGGAAAACCAGCTGGAGTCCAGGTCTCGTTGGACCCAAACACGGCTGTTTAATGTTCTCTGCTGCCTATCCATGTGTCGGTAATGTCAGAAGCTCATCCAAAGTAAAACAAGGGCAGCCCTAGCCTGTTTGGCTCAGTGGATAGAGCATCAGCCTGCAGACTGAAGGGTCCCAGGTTCGATTCCAGTCGAGGGAGTGTACCTTGATTGCAGGCTTGTGCAGGAGGCAACCGATCGATGTGTTTCTATCTTTCCCTCTCTCTTTCATTTGTCTCCAAAAATCAATGAAAAAATATCCTCTGATAAAGATTAAAAAAATAATAATAAGGTTCTAAATTTGCACTATAGCATTGAAATTATTTCTTGCAGTAATTGTTGGATTGCATGATACAATACTCAGAAAATAAATTTTTTTAAAAAAGACTGGACCTGTGTTCCTGTTACTGCTCTACATAATACTCCGCTGGTAGAATTCTCAAGAATACCAATTGCTGAAGTGCTTTTCTTTCAAAATATGAAGGAATGGTTTTAATTTTGAATGCATTGTTTGTGCCTATTTAAAGTAGCGTCCTCTTGGTTTCCTGACTTTTCTTTGTCTCTGATTATTTTTCCCAGGGTCAACGCCTTTTTGAAAAGTTGCTCCAACTGGCTTCGCAAAATATCGAAATCAAGCTAGTGAGTGATGTGACGGCTGATTCAAAGGTATTAGAAGCCTTGAAGTTAAAGGGTAAGGCCAAGGTTGATACGCTACTCTACCACCGGGTGTTCTGCTTCGATACCTTTGTTCTCGTTTAATATATAATTTCTTTATAATGAATGCATTTCACTTCGTGGACTTCCGGTTTCTCCTTTGAAGAATGGTCTGAGCAAAGCCTATAGTTGAAAGAACTAATTACTCAATACTGATGGGACTTGCGTTGTTGCATATTAATTTATGCAAAATAACCTAGAGGTTATTTAATAATTTTAGTAATAATTTTTTTAATATTTTATTGGTTTTTTTACAGAGGGGAAGGGAGAGGGATAGAGAGTTAGAAACATCGATGAGAAAGAAACATCGATCAGCTGCCTCTTGCACACCCCTCACTGGGGATGTGCCCGCAACCGAGGTACATGCCCTTGACCAGAATCGAACCTGGGACCCTTCAGTCCACAGACCAACACTCTATCCATTGAGCCAAACCAGTTAGGGCAAGTAATAATTAGCTAGAAAAGAAGAGTCATTCCCTCTCTGATCACTTCCATGATGTGATTAGGAAAAAAAGAGCCACTTCTGACCAGAACAGACACTGGAATTCTGACTCTCTCTTGCTCCCCATCTGACAGTTGTCCCCCTGCTTCTCAGAATTTAAAAGGGCATAATCAGATGTTTGAGTCTGGGAAACTTCCTGATTCACAACTTTTTATTTCTGTTACTCCTCCCTCGAGGATATTTTTTTCCCCACTGATTTTTAGAGAGAGTGAGAGGGAGGGGGAGAGACAGAGAGCGAGAGAAACATCGATGTGAAAGAGACACATGATTGGTTGCCTCTCACATGCACCCTGTCCAAGGCAGGGGAAGGAGCCTGCAACCCAGGCACATACCCTTAATAAGAATCGAACCCGCAACCGTAACTCTGACCAGTGAGGAAAACCAGCTAGGGCCTGATTCACACTTCTTTATTTTTATTTTTATAATGAACCTTTTTTAAAAATATTTTTTTATTGATTTCAGGGAAGACAGAGACAGAAACATTGATGATGAGAGAGAATCATTGATTAGCTGCCCCCTGCATGCCCCACCCTGGGAATTAAGCCAGAAACCCAAGCATGTGCCCTGATCACGAATTGAACTGTGACTTCCTGGTTCATAGGTCTGGCCTGGCCTGATAGCTCATCCTGGTGCTATTCCGACATGCTGGGCATGTTGCGTGCCATCTCCCCTACATATTATATTATATATTATTCATATTATATTTATATTGCTATAGGCACTATCGCCATACTATTTTTCTATGCATGGGAAAATAATGAAAGGTGATGAGATATGGCTGGGCCTAAAAGGCTTCGCTCTGATAGTATCTTTGGAAAAGTAGAAAACACCTACGTTCGCGGATTGACAATCCACACGGATCAGAAACGCATCATTGCTTTTCCTGTTTAAGAAACATGACGTTGTTTCTATGGAAACTCTGAAAACTCTGTTATCCGACACATTTCTGGAAAGGGGTTCCCTTTGGCTCCCTCTGGATACCTGCATCTGCAGGTACATTTTCTCCTGAAGCTTTTTGGAGGGGTCCTCTGGGTTTGATTCACCGTAGGACGGAATGCAGATGAGACCAAAACCGGTGTGACTCAGTGGATAGAGCATCGGCCTACAGACTGAAAGGTCCCAGGTTCCATTCCGGTCAAGGGCATGTACCTTGGTTGCGAGCACATCCCCAGTAGGGGGTGTGCAAGAGGCAGCTGGTCGATGTTTCTTTCTCATTGATGTTTCTAACTCTCTATCCCTCTCTCTTCCTCTCTGTAAAAAATCAATAAAATATATATATTTTTTTAATGCAGTTGAGTTAGGAAGAGAGGGAGGAGCAGAAGTGTTGCTTGGCTGCACACCTGTCAATCTGCTATTTGCCGTAGCTCGTCCTCAGTCTTGTCAACTCCACCAAAGTGAAAGCTAGGGAATACGCCCAGCCAATGTGGCTCAATGGTTGAGCGTTCACCTATAAACCAGGAGGTCATGGTTCGATTCCCAGTCAGAGCACATGTCAGGATTGTGGGCTCCGTCCCCAGTAGGGGGCGTGCAGAAGGCAGCCAATCAGTGATTCGCTCTCATCATTGATGTTGATCTCTCTCTCCCTCTCCCTTCCTCTCTGAAGTCAATAAAAATACATTTTTTAAAATAAAATTAAAACTAGAGAATATTAGAGCACGTAACAGCCTTTCTTCAGTGCTGCTGAGTATATGGCTACTCTAGATAGGAAATGGCTCTTACTGAATTTATGGTGAAGGCACGGTTTGCGTTTCTGTTGTGAACTATGAATTAAAACTTCATTCAGTCATTGCTTCTCATACACACAAAAGCAGTTTATGCATATGTATATATCAGAGGCCCAGTGCATGAATTTTCCCCTCAGCCTGGCCTACCCGCCTCACATCCGGGAGCCCTCAGGGGCGGGAGGTGACCCGCCAATCAGGGGAAGGTGACGCCCCATCACAACTCTGCTGCTGCCACTGCCGGCAGCGCAAGCTTCGGCTGGCCCTGGTTACCTGAGCCTCAGCCAGCCCTGGGCTGCTGGGCAGCCACCATCCTAGGTTTGTCTGTGCCTCGGGTCAGCCCTGGGTGGCTGGGAGCTGAGGGTACTGGGGGACTCTGGAGGCAGGCTTGCCATGCACCTGCCACCCCAGAGGGGCTGAGGGGACTGGGTGCCACCATCTTGTGGCAGTGGGTGCTGCTATATTTGAGGGCATGGAAGTCAATTAACATATTCCCTCCTTATTGGCTCTGGGCACCATCATCTTTGTGATGGTGTGAGGGTCACTTAGCATATTCCCTCTTTATTAGGTAGGATTACTACACCTTAGGCTCTCTTACTGTATAATCTTTGTTCTTATAAAAAAAAAAATAAGAAAACAAACAATGTTCCTTTATAAAGGAGAAGCAGTAAACCAGACCATCATTTCTCAGAGCTATATCCTAGGTACTGACCACAGACCTAGCTGGCTTTTATTAAGATACATATGTGTATACAGTACCCCCAAAAAATGTATATACACTTAAACAGCTGATGAGAGAGATCACTGATCGCCTGCCTCCTGCATGCCCCACACTGGGGATGTAGCCCCGCAATCCGGGCATGTGTCCTGACCAGGAATGAAACCGTGGCCTCCTGGTTCATAGGTCCACGCTCAACCACTGAGCCATCCTGGCCAGACTGACCGAGGAATTCTTAAAACGTCTACCCAGAGCCCCGTTTTCCCGGCTCCCTCTTTGTGTCTGAATCGTTTGATGCCTGTGTTTTCCGCCTGGGATGGTGCTCTGTGACTTTAAGAAACAGATGCTCTCCTATTGTCTTTTTTTCCATTCCGTTTGGTTTTGAAACTTTACCAGAAAATCTGAAAAGATTCTGACAGGGAGGGCCCTGCGTGATTTGTTGACTGAGTACTGGGAGGCGGCAGGAGACCTGTCATAACAGAGTCACCACGCGGACCATCAAGTGACACCTGTCATGCTGCCACCTGTGCACAGCCATCAGAAAGCTCATCAGTGTCAGAGCTGTGACGAGGGGGACACTGGGTGCTTCAGGACCGAGGGCGGATGGAAACGAGGGTTGCTTTGACATTCAGCAGTAGAGGAGAAAATTCAACTTAGGAACCCTGAACTCTGATTAAGTTCAATTAAAATAAACCTGGCCATGCCAAAACCCGTTTGGCTCAGTGGATAGAGCGTCGGTATGCGGACTGAAGGGTCCCAGGTTCGATTCTGGTCAAGGGCATGTACCTTGGTTGTGGGCACATCCCCAGTGGGGGGTGTGCAGGAGGCAGCTGATCGATGATTCTCTTTCACTAATGTTTCTAACTCTCTATCCATCTCTCTTCCTCTCTGTAAAAAAAATCAATAAAATATATATTTTTAAAATAATAAAATAAAATAAACCCGGCCATTTCAAATACCACGCTGAGGGAGGCCGATTCTAAACCAAACCCTAAAAAGGAATGTCTATTCCTAAATCTGAGAGCAGGGGGCAGGTGCAAATTTGAAAATTAATACAAGCTGCTGCGATTTCCAACTTAGACATTTGATCTGCTTGCTCCAAATAAATGTAATGCAATTTGAGATTTGTGTGTGTGTGTGTGTGTGTGCACGCACGCGCGTGTTGAGGCCTTTTTACTTAGGTTTGTTTTATTGGCTTATAATGTTTCCAAAGTCAAGTTCTACATGCCAGTAGGTGTGGTTTTCTGTGTTCATTTAAGGCAATACTACCAAGTATTTTTAGGAACTTCACCTGAGTAAGCTCTTATCTTCTTCTGGCTTTCATTCCACCCCTTGAGAGGCTGCCGTTGTTGAGAAGCCTGCACATTGCATAACGGTTTCTCTTGTCCCGGTGAAGGGCTGTCCTCCGGAACAGGAGTGTGGGGCCCCTCGGTCAGCAGAGCCCGTCGGGCGGCCTTCTATGGAGTCTGATCTGGAAACGGCCCAGACCAAGGTCAAGGCGCTGCTGCTGTCGCCTATCCTTGCTCCCCATCCCATTCCACGTCCACCCAGCACCTTCTCTGCGTGGAAGCTGCTCTGGCTTGAGGGCGTGAGGCTGGTGCCTTCATTCTACTCTTAGCAGTCAAATTCCTTGCAAGGAGCTTTGTCCCCTACCTTCCTTTTTTTTTTAATATATTTTATTGATTTTACACAGAGAGGAATTGAGAGGGACAGAGAATTAGAAACATCGATGAGAGAGAAACATCGACCAGCTGCCTCTTGCACACCCCCCATTGGGGATGTGCCCGTAACCAAGGTACATGCCCTTGACCGGAATCGAACCCGGGACCTTGCAGTTCGCAGGCGGACACTCTATCCACTGAGCCAAACCGGTCCCGGCATGTCCCCTACCTTTCTTTACAGAACACCGAGTATTGGCAGCGAGGCAGGGCTTTCTGTTGACACATACTTTCATAATTGGCACAGCCCCACCGGTGTGCCCCAGTGGTTAAGTGTCAGCCTACGAACCGGGAGGTCACAGTTTGATTACTGGCCAG